GGGAAATGCAGGAGAGGAAGGCCCTCTATGAGGTGAATTAATTCAGTGACTGGGATAATTGGGATGGGTGTGTCGGAGACAGTACGATAGGCACAGGACAGAGCAGAGTTTAGGGCTGTTGTACATAGGGTCGCTATGAGTCGCAAGCGACTCAAGGACACCTAACAACATAAGAACAACAACAGTGAAATGATGCAGATCAACTTTTTGCTTTCACCTCCCCCCATTCAATCTGTTAACGTGGAAGTAAATAACACTGTATTTCTCATGCTTAATTACATAAGAATTCCCATAATAAACCTCCCTCAATTGTGACATTAAAAATAAATTTGATTATTTTTACTTAGGGTTTTTGCTTCTATATTTCAAAGTAAAATTTACCTGTAATATTTTTTTATTATGTTATTCTAGTTTCAGTTTACATTTAGACTTCTTTTAGTTCAATATGTACCTTTTGGAATGAATCTTATTTATTTTTCTACTTAATGAAAGCAGTTATGTATCAGAATTATCCAGTCTATAAAGCCTGGCTGGCTTCATTTGTTGCACTTCTTCATTTGGTTTGTTTGGAAAGTGTTAGAAGAATGAAATATAGAAAATATTTTAATACACTGCCATTATTTTAATTTATTTTAGTTTTTAAATTATTTGTAGCTTTTTGAGGTGAATGATGTCTGTTTTCATTCTTTTACAAGAAGTGAGTCTTAATATTATTTATTGAGTAGGAACAAAAAAAGATAGACATGGCTGCTACCATAGCTGTGTTCAGTGTAGTTGAGATAGACAAACATACAAACTTATTTAATGATATTGTTACTGTTATACACTGCTAAGTCAGAACTGACTCATAAATGACCTTCCAGTGGGTTTTACGAGAGGAGAGTGCCCATTTTTCTCCCATGGAACAGCTAGAGGATTGGATCCATGAACCTTTGGATTAGCAGTACCATTCCTTCACACAAAGCCATAAAAACTCTCTCTTATCATGATAAGAAGCTATAAATTAGGCATGTGTATAAGATAGAGAGGTGTAAGAGGTAGAGTAATTGACTGTGGAGACAGGTAAACAAACCTTTTCACAGCATGTGATTGTGATTTCTAAGTAAAGAAATGTGAGTACATTGCCTGGGTGTTTGAGGGGACAGGACAAATATTTCAGATATAGGAAATGGCCTGCCTGTGTAAATGCACTAATATTTGAGGTAACTTTTATTTCATGATTCTAGTTCAACAGTGTTGAACTGTTAGTCCTTTCTGCCTTAATAATTCTTTCACTTATAGTCTGATGAACATTATACTGGATGCTGAATTTTTAGTAACAACTGTTCTTCTTAATGAAGGCTATAACTTCTAAAATCCTCTATGTTAGTATTATAGTTTGGGAAGTGGTTGAGCAGACCACCTGGAATAGGTTTAATGAGCTAATGGTTTGACTTTACCATTTTATTCTCTTGCTATGTCTTCATTTCATTTTTGTGTCATTTTGAGTTTTGTTTCCTATGTTGTTGTTAAGGTCTGTCGAGTTGTAGATGACTCATAGTGACCCTATGAATGAAAGATCTGAGCATTGTTCATAGAGTTTCCGGAGGCAAGCTATTCCGGAAGTGGATGCCACTCCTGTTTCCAAGCCTCTTTCAATTGGGGAGCTCCACCAAACACTGTTCATCATGGGTAACCATTATCACATTTGGCACATCAGTGTCACAGTGTTTAGCATCACAGCAACCATGAGTTACCTCTGTACAGCAATGCACAAACCAATGCCATACCACTTAGAAGAATGTTTGACAAAAAACAACTTAAACCAGGCCTGAGGGCCGCAAATTAAAATCACCCACCTTGTCCTTGGTAGCATAACTTTCTGTCCACTAGACCAACATAGTTCTCTCTATTTTGTCATTGTTAT